AAAATATTTGGGGGTGCTTAACTTTTTTCCAGGTGTATATATAATAAATCACCTTTTTAACATGAAGTGTTCTTTAACTATTTTCTCATTTCGGATCTTCTCACGACAACATCTTCGGCACTTCTGTGACATTTAATTCGGTCCCGACTAGTGAAAATGGGTTTTCTCGGAGTATTCCCGTTCCCCCACGAACATCAAAATTGAAGGGCATTGGATTTTCAGGTCCCAGCCCACACTGAAAGAGTGCTGTTTGTTGAGCATTTAGTCGAAATTATTTCATGCCTTGTACTCGCTTTTGCATCTCTTTTTTTTTTTCGCTTCTGTCTGACATGGCGTCTTTCATTGATGAATTTTGTGTGTACACGTGTTATATACGTTTTTACACACTTTTTATTTTGTCGGTTATCTCTTTAAACTTATCGCGTGTGGAGCAAAGGAGGAGTGTATAATCCTCGATCACCTCAGGTTTTGTTAACCCAAAAACTGCCGTACCCGAGTTGTATTACAACTAGAAGCAAGAAGCTGCATCTTTGGAGTTTAGTTAATGCTAAGAAGGTTTATATAATGTGTTAAAGTTGATAAATAGTATAGTGTATTTTAAAAGTCGGATGTACTAAGCTAAAGGGTTTCATTACGATTGTCAATAAAAAAAAAAGTCCATCGTTGGAAGACTATTGGCTGTCTAAGGAAGTTACTAAATTGGATTGAGAATTATTGAAATAAAGATCGGCAAACTGAGAAGATTTAACTGTAAGATTTCGTATAAAGAGTCGGACCTTTCAACACAAGACGTAATTAACAGAAACGTAATAAAGCTTTTAACGGAGATTGTACTTTAATTAATCAATACCCTGAAGATTAAGTTTAGAAAGTTGGTTAAAGTTTTAGATATGATTATGATATAAAACTAAAAATTGCTTCACTCCTTCTTGAACAATAGAAGAGTTTGGTACTTGGATAAGGTAATATATAATATTTACAAATAATGTTCGAAACTATTCACGGTTTCGAAAAGGGACGTGATTGTAAAGTTGTATGCTGTCGTGTTTTTTTAAAGTTCTTGTGATTTTATACTTGTTGTTATTACAAGTTTTCACGATAAGTTTCGTTGTTCAAGCAGTGTTTTGATTGATTGATTTTATTATTGTTATAGAAAATTCAAGAAATAGGTGTAGGGTAATTTTGTAAAGAGCGCCAGAGTTCGTGGAAATTCAAAGAAAGTGATTTGATAAAAAAAACGATGAATGAACAATGAGAAACAGTTTTTTATTTGAAGTTAGAAAGCTTGTGTGTGATCCCCTGGTTGGTCAACGGTAAGTTTACGAAATTACAACGGTAAATCCGGGATTCGATTCCCAGCATTGGACAGAGTGCAGATAATCCTTGTGCAGCTTTGCGCCAAACAACAACAAACACACACAGAGTCAGATAAATGAATACATCCAGATAGAAATTGAAAGCTGGCTTCATGCATGGAATCGTGATTGTTTCGAGACTTGTTTGTTCCTTTAAGAAGTGGAATTTAAGCGTTTTCTTCAGCTGGATATATAAATTTAGATTACTTATGTTTCAAAGTGTTATTTCTCAATAAATATGTGAAATATATGTTAATCTCGCTTGAAAGCCCGATATATAATAACAAATCCCTACCTACATCGTAATAAGGGAGCTGCTAGGAAGGGTCGACCTCTTTCGGTATATTGCCTAAATAACTAGGCCTATCTACATATTGCAAGTGCTTGTCGAAATAAATATTCACACCATAAAAGTTTATCTTGAGAACATACATTATTGTAAATAAACATGACTTTAAATAATTTTCACGTTAAACCTTCCTAGTGTTACTAATAGGAAAGGGACATTATTTTTTCACAGCAGATGGTAACTTTAATTTATAAACCTGACTAATGATCATTAGTGTAGTGCTAAAGTTTATAGTGCCGGAGACAAAATTTTTGACAACTTATGCCGTCACCACGATATTAAAGAATTCGTATTCAAAATTCAATTTCCATTTCTGCATTTCATACGCCAGAGCATCAATCCCGCAGCACTATACTCCTGCTAATGCTGTAGGACTATGTGCGTAATCTATAATATTATAAGGGCGTGTCTGTGACCGCCATAACTCCAAGAGGAAAGAAAAAGAAAATCTTACATTTTTCACACATACTCAGTGGACCCTGAGGGTGTGCACCTGTGTATTATTACTTATCCGCAAGCGCATCTTTTTATGAGGCAAGGTAGGGAAAAACACATAAAATAATATGTGACCGCCATAGCTCCAAGAGGAAAGAGCCAAAAACCTGAAATTTTGCACCCATACTAAATGGACCCTGAGTGTGTGTATCTGTGTATTATTACTTATCCATGCGCGAGCATTTTTTAATGAGGTGAGCTAGCGAAAAACCACATACAAAAGAAACGTATCCGCCATGGAACGTTCGAGTGTTTTAATTATTATGGGATGTTAGAGTGTTTTAACTACTATAGGATGTTATAGTGGTTTTTTAAACTATTATGGGATATGGCCCGTCAAAAAATGACATGGCAAGTACTACCACCCCCACTCCATAGTATACATTATCTTCACATTTCATAGCAAACTAAAATAAATTTATTTTACGAAATCAAACTTGTCCAACAAAGGCAGAAAATGGGATGTTATACCATCGTGAACGCTTTCCTTTTTGGAAATGATCAACAATATACATCGTCGCTTAGCAACAAAACTATTATGGATTGTTATACAGTTGTTTTTACCTGTTATAGGATGTTATAGAGTATTTTAACTATTATGGAACTAGCGTGTAGCCCGTCAAAAATGACGGGGGGCAAGTACTGCCACCCCACCTCATGGTATATATATACTCTAACCTCACATTTGATAGCTAACTGAAATAAATACATTTTGTGAAATCAAGCTTGACCAACAAAGAGGTAGAAAAATGCAGTCGAGGCAGTCAAACGTCGGTAAATTATTTTTAATGAGGCAAGCTAGCGAGAAACCACATAGGAAAGAAGTGGTTCATTGTAGAACAACTTCTAACATATAGAAAAGTCAGTGCGTTTTGGTAACAATGCGTTCTAGCAATGGCTTTTATATGTTGCTTAGCAACAAAAGTATATAGGTTACATTTTTATGCTAAAATGGGTTCAGAATACACACACTATCAACTTAATAACCTGAGCGAAACCGGGTACTTTTTCTAGTAAATAATAAATAAACTTAGTATTCCGAAGATTGTTTAACCTTGAAGTCTAAGTTCAAGGGAGGTCCAGTTCAATCTACAGTATGGGTTATACTAGTTTTGGAGAATTCCTCTCCTCATCAGTAACCCTGAACACAAGTTAACCAAAGAGAGATAAGCTGGATCTATGTTATAGTGAAAACTACAAAGCACGTTCACACCAACAGTATGGTTGACTGTGTGCGTACACACAATAGGTAAAAAAAAAAAAAAACAACTTAGATACAATTCTAAATTTAGAAACACTCATATTTAAAATTAGCAAAAGTCGTACAGTGATCATTCCGCTGTTTTGCTGTTACTTGATTTTTAAATCAAATTAAAGTCTTGGCAGACAGTGTAATATATTTGGCAGCGTCTAAGGTATAAAACACTGATTATTGAAATCAATTATGAAATCTCGGATGGGTGTAAAGGTTTTAACATAATTGTTTTATAATATGTGAAACCTTATTAAAATTACATAATACTTGTATCACGTAGATATAAACTTCAACTGTTATTAAGTATATTTCAATTGGATGCCCTGTGACGAAGGTTGGCTTTGTACAGCAACTTTATTGTACTTTAAAAACAATTACAGTAAGTACACAAACATATATATATGTATATATATAGTTTTTATTGATGACTGATTAAATAAGATCGAAATTTAAATAGATGTGATGTAATTGCTACAGTGACAGTAGTTTATGTTCTTTACACACGCATGTAACTTTTTTTTTAAAAACTTGTCTGCTGTGTTTGATTCGCAAAGAAACAAGATCCTTATTATTTGTGAACACGTGAAGGCAGTCCTGCCGCTGTCTCTATTTAGCAGACCCAATCAGGATTTGAATCACTTCTTGTGGTTTCGGCTATGTGTAGATTCTTGGCTTCGTTCACTTACAGAAGACCGAGTTTGATACTCCTGAAAACGAGAGGGCGTAAAAAGTATAGATGATAATAAACAACAACAAAATACAAACGCGGCGAGGAAAGAAACACGTTACAATCATTTCATATTTTTATGTCATACTGTACTGAAAAATCTAATCAAGAATTATATGGATCAAAATGACGTATAATTTTTTTATTGCAATTGAAATCAAATTTAAAGCACTTCTTATCATTGAATTGGTATTAATAAAAATATCTGCCCAAAGTAATCGTTATACTTTAATTATGCTTAGTGAGTATTCAAAATATCGAAGTAGATAAATACGTAATTCACATTTGTGCCTGTAGATTGAGAAGACAGAAGTCTTCTTGAAACAATAGACCCCGAAAATTGCAAACGTGTACAAATGTAGACTAGTGTTCAAAATTAGAGCAACAAACGCAAAATTTAAATATTTCTATAATAGAATAAGATAACAAAAAATGGACCTTGAGATCACTTTAAGACACGCAGCATGACGTTAGATCTACTTGAAATACGTAGTCTGAGGTTTATATAAATAGAGATAATATCAGACTACTTCTTATTACATTTTTTTACACCATCAGAAGAATATCTTGAAGTTCACGTTGTAAATATGACTGGTCTTAAACGTTTAGAAGATTCTTTTTATAAGTATAAAACTATCTGAAGATTAGAGGTTGTGCAACAAGCCCAGTCCCAGTGATTGAATGGCCAAATGCCAACAAAAATGTTGTTTCATTGTTATCGAGACCGTTTCAAAATAATGGAGATATTGTTCGAATATCAAGGCAAAGACGTATTAGAGTTACTACAGCAGCAAGTTATTAATAGGTGTCTACTGGCAAGACCAAATAGAGCGAGAAATGAAGAACCTTTTGTGGATTTATTCATGACTACAGCAAGGACGATATTAGTCTCTAACATACACAAGAGGCTGCATAATGGTGGGGTTTTGTGCGAGACAACCCATGTTATGCATTCTCTTCGTCAGCGATAGGAGCATTTGGAGTAGAGTTGTCAACATTCCTTTTGTGATGAAGAGGGACCGAGCCTTAATCCTTTCACAAGTGAGTCCAAATCAATTTTACAACCTGGCACACGACACTGTTATATGAAACGTGAGACACGCAACCAGGGATACTGGTTTAACTGTTTAATGAAATCATAGCTCATTAGGAGCGATCAGTTTATTCCCTTAACCCCAGTATCGTTGAGACGCTCTTTGAAGACATGTTGCAACCTTTCAAATCTCTCTAAGTGTTAAAATGTGCTTTGAGAAGCAAATAGCGATTACTTCTAACTTCTCTCATAAATGACATCGTGGACGGCATGTCCTACTGGTCATTCTTCATACTGATTACAAGTAAATCTTTGTAGTAATTTTTGTTATGTTTTATCGTATTTATGATTTAATAATCGTTCCATTTGCACTGACTTATTTTAAATAAGCATGTATTTTGGACTATTTTTATTGATAGTATCTCTAAGTTAAGAAACATAGTTTATTAGCATATTAATCTTTTAATCCATAGGAAAAATTTTAAAATCTGCCTTCTTATTCTAATTTTGTAAACCAATGTAGTTAACAAACGAGTAATAATAACACTAAAACTCACTCTGACAAATAGTGGCTGGGAAAGACTTCGATTAATGTACACTCGGGCGAGGTAATTTTGAACTTTCTCATTCATCACTACATTGAAGACGAATATAAAGACACCCTACGGAAAAAAAAAGAAGCTGAAGTTCAATAATTTTCTAACTAAAATTTATGAAACGTTTTCTCCACGTATCAGAAAACTAATAACAGACCTATTCTGTTATTCTATTCTATTCTATTAGCTTATAAATTATAATATATTTGTTGCATGAAATGAAATATATATGTAACACTTCATAGCTATTGTAATATCTTAGAATACGTGACAAGTAAGTTACTGTGCATAATTTAATTTATCAGCAAAATATGCAGAACAACTGTTACATTAAACTACTGAAATAAAACAGATAACTTGTACACAAACAAAGTAATTATAGATAATTTGGTGGATTAAAATATTTTTCCTCCCTATTAGGTCTCAATAATACTGATGAATTTCTGTGTGTGCATACTCGCCGACGTTTTGTCCCTGTCCCTATGTGGTAGTTTTAAATACATTGATAATTTTGTTATAAGTATAGTAACTGATATTACTGGAGATACGTCATAAATATTCTACAAAGATAAACTTAAATTTCTGACCTGACTCAAGTGGGTAAAAGAGAATGGACACAATTTGTGTAACATGACCAATACTCGGTCCTATGCAGGTGACGAAAGCACATCATGCTAGATAGCACTACTCTCTAAGAGAGCTCTTCTGAATTAGAAATAAACCTAATTAAATTCTTAAGAAGTTCTGATATATTACAGTTGGGTCATTTCTCTTAGAGTGCACTTACCTTCCCATCACTTGCATATCTCACTCGTAAGTTAAAATCGAAAGGAAATACCTCCAGGTATTACTAACCTTCTACAAGACCGCTGCCACCAGCGAGTACATTAGTACAATACTAAGCCTAAAGAAATCTTTAACAATATATTCTGTTAGAAAGTTCAGTAACACCAAAGGGGAATGACTTATGATAATGATTAGCGCCAGAACAAAGTCGTAACTTACCATAGCAGGTTTAACTGCGCTTAGAATAATTCATGTGTTGAGCACGTGTAAGTGAAAAATGTCGAAAATGTTGGTAAACTAAAACAGTTCGCCTTTCTAAGTTAAATAAAATAATATTTCAATGATACGCTTACTGTGAAAACCAGGTGTATTATTTAAACATACGCTTATTGCGTAACACCAGACGTATTATTTCTATAAGTTGCTTTTTGAAATTATCTTAGTTTAACATCAGAAGAGTACAGAAAATTTAATTTTTGAGAAATTAGGTTAAAAATTGTTCAGTAAAATAAACTAAGCGTAAAAAAGATAACATTTCACTCTTACTTCAGTTTTCAAACGTCGCTTAATCAAAACTGGTATTTATTATCTTTTAACTTAACAATAAGTTAACGAAAAATTACTCTCCGATTCCGCTTTTCTAGCAAAAAGATTATATGAAAGAAAAATAATATTTAGTTCATTTTAAACTTTCATAGAGGAAGTTAGAGGGCTAAATATTTATTACATTTGTTTAAGGCTAAATATTACGATGGGAACACACACATATACTATCTAACTCTTATTACTCTATCTATAGCGTTACAATAAAAAGTAGCCAGACAAGTTCCTATAATCTAATTTCAGTATTATACGACAAATATTTTGATTTCTATTCCTCTACTTTTACTATTTTGTGAGGTGGTTATTGGGTATCATGCTTGAAACATTTAATCTGAGGGATATTGTGGTGTCATTCTGAAACATAATTTGAGCAATATTGTGGTGCCATGCTGAGACATATCGTTTGAAGAATTTGTTTTGTTATGCTGAAATATATCATCCAAGAAAAGTTTGCATCTTAAACATTGAATGTGACCTTAATAAGTACTGTACGAGTGCTATCCTTACTTGTGACTAAATTATTTAGACCACGTTTTTCAAGAACTGTTACATTCACATAGCATTATGTTGAGTTGTTGCTAATAGATACCAACTCCCGGAAGCAAATTGGTGAATGATATCGTACTGACTGATTGCCACAGTAGTTCAATGTCCGTGTAGATCGTTTAAAGTAACAAACAAAACTGCTAACAAGATGTCTCTATGCTAGTTTCTGAATGGGTTGATGACTTCACAAGCATCCATTAGCACACCCTCTCGTGATCCTGAAGGCCTTCCAGTTTTTGAAATTATTTCAACACACATACCTCTGCCATTATTTCCGTTTCTCACTTTGTAGGACTATAAGGGAAAATTAAGTAATACCAGACAGAATTTATTTACATGCCTCAACTTCAATCCATAGAGAGCAAAAGTATATACTATAATAATGCGTGTACGACTGCAATTTGAACAGAAATACTATTGAGAAATATTCAGTAAAAGTACGAGCTTATGAATATTTCAATTTTAATTACTGAACATATTTCTATCATAACGAAAGAAAATTACACACACACACACACACATATATGTATAACTATTAATGGATCTCAGCGTTGACAATAGCCACAAACAAAATTTAAACACTATTGAATAGAGCAGATTATAAGCTGTTTATAGCACCGGAGGATAAATATAGTGGCGTGAGTAGTAATCTCATATTCATAGGAAGATTAGAAGATGTAGAAATTAACCACAGACTGTGAATTTTTTATAGTTTCTTTAGATGTTCTTGTAGATCTTTTCATGTTAAATAAAAAATTTTTTGGAAAGTTACTTAAAATCCTAGTTAGGTTTAACAAGTATAATAGGTAATGTTAAAAATGAATATAAACCCTATAACCCGAGCGCTTTCGAAAGGT